ACTGGATTTTTTCATGAGATGTTGCGAAACAAATCGGATCTGGTAAATTTTTTGTTTTTGATCTCGCAACACTGATTTCTATGAAAACAGCGTTGCCAGATGTGGTGAAATTTCACCAGATCTGGTGATTTTTATACTAGTTTAATGATTTGTTGAAAAGTTTTGTAAAAATTCTAATTTCTGAGGATTTTTTTAGAAACGTGACTGTAGTTCTAGCAGAAAATTAATGTATTTTGAAATAATTTTTCGAGCATTAAGTTTTTTAATTATTGATATAGTAAATTCAGTCAAAAATGATGACACTATGTTTTTGTATTTTTTTGAGCATTTTGCACGATTTTTTAGCCAGGCAGAAACTCAAATGCTAAATTTTCTCAAAAACAAGGTTAAAAATCGGTAAAATGAGACAAAAAGTACATTATTTTGTCCATTTCTGTTCGTTTTCGTATGTTTTTAGTCAGAAACAAAACTATTTTGCAAAATTTCGTCAAAAACAAACCAAAAATTTATCAAATTATGCCAAAACTAGTGTTATTTTTGCATTTTTTGAGTGTTTTTAAAATACATTCAAATTTTTGCTAAAACTGACTGAAAAATTACCAAATTAGATTGAAATTAATATCATTTTAGCGTGAATTTCGCTCGATTTAGTTCGTTTTTGAACCAGAGACTCATTTATTTTGCAGGATATTGTCACATAACAAAAATTGCAAAATTTAGTCAAAAACAAGCCACAAATTCAACAAAATTGCCCAAAAACGGCGTCTCTTATCTTTTTAAAAGACAAAAACACAAAAAGTTTGAAATATTGCATTGAAACAGGACGAAACATTACAAAATTAAATCGAAATTGATATAATTTTGTAGCTTGTTCGCCCGATTTAGTTCGTTTTTGAACCGGAGGTTGATTTATTTTGCAAAAATCTTCTCCAAACACGCCTGAAAATCACAAAAATGATTGATATTGATGTTATTTTTTTTTGTCTCACTCGATTTAACTGATTTTTGAGTAAAATAAGACAAAAATAAGCCGAAAAAACACAAAATTTGGCCGAAAATGTACTAAAATCTCAGATTTTTGGCTAAATTTCGCTAAAACAAACTAAATAWTCAAGAAATTAAATCTAAAAGTACATTGTTTATGTATTTTTCGAGTGTTTTAGAGTTTTTAGAAACGTGACTGTAGTCCCAGAAGAAAATTAATGTAATTTTGAAATAATTTTTCGAGTATCGCCAAATTTTAGGAAAATTAACTTTTTCAATTATTGATATTGTAAATTCACTCAAAAGTAATAACACTATTTTTTTGTATTTTTTTAAGCATTTTACACGCTTTTTTAGGCAGGCAGAAACTCAAATACTAAATTTCCTCAAAAACAAGTTCAAAAATCGAGAGATATTTTTGTTTTTCTCAATGATATTTTATTCAACAAGGTAAAAAATCGCAAAAAGTACATTATTTTGTCCATTTTTAGTATGTTTTTAGACAGAAACATAACTATATTGCAAAATTTCGTTAAAAACAAAGCAAAAATATATCAAATTTTTATATTTTTTAGTGTTTTGAGAAAAACAAGCAGAGAAAAAAAATCACAGAACTCGGATCTGGTGAATTCTTTGTTGGTGCTGGTGTCAAATTTAAAATTTTCGTTTGGCAACCTTGACTTTCAAATTCAAACGTCAAACTTTTATTATATAACTTATATACAGGCTGTATATAAGCCATAACTTCATTAATAATTAAAGTCTCATCTATTGTTTGACATAGATGCTCAGTCAATGCTGCTTCCTGTTTCACCGGAAGCGACATTAATTTCAGATTTTTAAATGTAACACTCTGTATATTTAGTTATTTTTGTGTTTCTTATTAAATTATCTTTCAACAAGGTAAAAAATCGCAAAAAGTACATTATTTTGTCCATTTTTAGTATGTTTTTAGACAGAAACAAAATTTCGTTAAACACAAACCGAAAATTTATCAAATTTTTGTATTTTTCGAGTGTTTTGAGGAAAACAAGCAGAAAAAAATCACTGGACTCAAATCTGGTCAATTTTTTGTTTTTGATCTGGCAACACTGTGTTTAGTTGTCATGGATATGTGAACGTTTCTATGGTAACATGTATTTTAAAATGAATATACAGAGTGAGTCATTTCTCGAAATTTCTGCGATAAGAAAACCAATTAATTAATACAATGACCTGTGTGTGTGATAAGAGAAAAGTTCGATAAGACATAGTTGTGTAATTGWCGACTTACCGTCCCAGTCGGCATTTCCGTAGTAACCGCATCCATTTTTGCACTTGAGATCGGCTTGATTAATCCTTAAGGAGGGTTGTTTGGTGGCGTACATCATGTACTTGTAAGAACGCTGTAACGCAAATATTGGCATTTTGACCGAATAAACACACTAATTACTAAAGAAAAATAGTTTATGAGTCTTTCTGAATTTCTCAATCGCCCATTGGTGGCGGCAGTTGTCGATTTTTTTTGTTTTGTTCACTCAAAAACTTGAGTTTTTGGGTTTTTTACCATGGAGGTACGAAACTGTGATCGTGTGCACACAAATTCAACTCTTTCATTAGCATTTGGACGATTGGGAATTGTGGGAATTTGAGAAAGTTGATGCCCGCCGTTTCGACGATGTGAATCCTCGTCAGGGATTCGATGAAGGCACTTATTAAACTTTCACCAGGATCAGCCATTTGMGGTGGGATTTTCACGGGGGTGCWCTTGTAACGACAGGGTGGTGGTTGGAGGGACGTGGGGGAGACGAAGGGCGACACTCYAAGACGCGAGAAAAGCGAGAAAACTGCCGTTGAAAGACACTCGAGATTCTTTTATTGGAACGAGTTTATCAAGTGATAAGGATTAACCAAGGTTAAAAGTCTAATTTGACCAAGGAGTCTTATCTGCGACCAATCACAGCGAAGCACAGTTTTCGGGCTAAATAAGACAGACGATTCGCGTCAATGATTTTTTTCTCAACTGTGATAAACAACTAATTTAACGATGATTTAAATTATTTACAAATTTACTCACCGTCAATTGTTTTGCATCTTGAGGTGATAACCTGAAATCACACACAAAGGAATTAATTTAATGTATGTCGAGAGTAAATATTGACCGGAACAACCAATTTCATTGAAATAAATATCACTTATTTGGCCAAGATTGTGATATTATTACTCAAGCAATTTCGTKTAACCTTTTGGCCTTGATAAAAGTAATTTTAATTTTAGAAACGAAAAAAGGACTTACACGGCGCTATTTTATCACAAACTTTGGTTTTGCACTAAAAAACTCTTATTCATTACCAAAAAAATTCTCACAATTCATTTTTTTGTTGTTGTTGGTGAGAAAAAATCAATGACAGTTGACACACGCCATTTTCACCTGAGCAGCGCAGCCAACCGTACAAAAACAAACGRCCTAACTCATTTTTTCAAATGGAATAAAAAAAATTCTGACCCATTTCTTTTATCAAAGTACAGAAAGGAAGGTCTTTTTACCATTTTTCTATAAATAAACCTCTTAAAATTAGTTTGATCAAGGTTCTTTAACTCTTAAGTCTGATTTGATAATTTTTATCTGGAAACATCTGGTAATGATAAATTACACAAATTAATCGGTTTTCTTTGTATTTTTAACAATGATTTAATTGAAGCCACATGTGTGACCTGTGGGGACACCAATACACACACTGAAATGTCAAACAGTGGCGTAGAATACCTTTTATTGAGTTGCATCATTTTGAGTTCAAAAAAAATACTGTTCTGAGTATTTATGTTAGCGAATAAAGAGTGATTTTGTACTATAGTAGATTTCATTCAAATTGGCATAATGGTTGGCTGTTAAGTTTGTAGTCCTGCGCAACTCCTTGGTATAACAGCAAATAGGGTTTTTGTTTTTCTTTAATTACTTACCAACTGACATGACTGACATTTGTACAAATTTGTCAACAAGAAATTACCACCTAGGATTTGAATTTTTAGGAAAATTACGTTTCATGTTGTTTGTAACTAGAATTTTCAGAAGTAATTTTGTATGTCTAGGGTTGGTTACCCTTTGGGGCTGACGGTTGAGGTATTCTGTCAACCTGCTGTCAACTATCAATGTTTATGTCATTTTGACTTATAAAATAGCGTCACTGACAAATTAAAAAAGTTTAATTGTCAAATGTCAGTCACGATGACAGTAAAATGTAGTTTACAGTGAACTTTTTGAAGTAACAAAAAAAAATGTCCGAAATTTTAATTCCGTAACTGTACATATTTTTGATAGGAAAATATAATAGCTGTCATTAATTTGAAACTGTCATTCATTTTAACGTTAAAGCTTGAATCACATTAAAGTGTCAGAAAAGTGACGACCAAGTATTTTGTCTCCAACTGTACCAATTTGAATAAATCCAAATTATTTTCTCCAAAGGAAATAGTATATGTTTTTGGTGTTAAAACTATACCTACAAAGGGATGAAACAGGGTGTTAAACTTTTATATAGAAAAAACTCTGAAAGAGGGTCTTTTAAAAATAAAATTTTAACTATTATTATTATTATTATTATTATTATTATTATTATTATTTATCTTAGCCTCACTTTTTTAGTGTCAAATTTAGTTCATTAATGTGGTAAAGCCTTTTTCACCTTTAAAACCCGGTTTACACAATCATGACCTACTGTTATGCCAAATTCAATGAAATGGATTATAGTTTTACAAATTTGTAACCTTTTTGTCGCATAGAATGACAAAAGATAATCTCTCTCTTATCGGTGGTAGAACAAGAGATAAGAATAAGTAAAAAGCAAAATAAGAATAACATGGCCATACCAATTTTTTCTTTAAAAGGGCATAATTGCGCCGCCACTGTACTTCCCAGCCCCAATCTGGTAACTTTTAGTTCTTACGTTTGCAGCTGTTCCCCTAGTTGATATTTCATCTGTTATGTAGTTAATTGCCAAAAAAATATTTTTTTTTGTACTAATTTGAATGAAACCAAATTATTATCTCCAAGGCAAATATTGTATGTTTTTTTGGGTGTTACAACTATACCTACAAAGGGATAAAACAGGGTGTTAACGTTTTTATATAAAAAACTTTCTCTGAAAACCTCTGAAAGAGGGTTTTTTTAAAAATAAAATTTTAACTATCTTAACCTCACTTTTTTTATGTAACGATTTTGCCGCTTAGACTGACAAAAACATAATCTCTATAAATAAGTAAAAAGCAAAATTATGAATAACATGGCTAAATTAATTTTTTCTTTGAAAAAGCGTAATTGCGCCGCCACTGTACTTCCCAGCCCCAATCTGGTGACTTTTATTTCTTACGTTTGCAGCTCTTCCCCTAGTTGACATTTCATCTGTTATGTAGTTAATTGTCAAAAAAATATGGAAAATAAAATCTCTCAGATAAAACCGTCACCCCTCAGCAAAATAAGCATCGAAACTAAAAAAGTAACACCTCATTATTAACCCCTATTCAAATTTTGCTTCGACAATTCGTTCGTTTTAAGTAAAAATTTACCGTTTTGTTTTGACGTCGACATAATGCAACTGTAATGGTGGTAATAAGAAAATGTTAGAAATTTTCCAAATGTTTTTGTTCTTGTTCAAGTCGAAATACCGTCGAAAATGCTCCTTGTGGCAAGCTTTGTGTTGTGTTGTTGTGTTTTTAAATGTATGCTCTCTTGTTAAGGCCAAATGTGGGGATTGTAGCGGTAATGGGGTGTGTAAAAACGAGACTTGTGTGTGCTACGACGGCTGGCAGGGGCCCCAATGCCAGTTTTGTGGGGGCAAAGTGCGGTAAGCGGCCGAAATGCCCCATCTAGTGTCTCAATTCGCTTTGTTTGCAGTCTCGGGACTTCCACGGGGACCATCCACGACGGCCTCGGCAACTACTCCCTCAGCGTGAAGTGCTCCTGGCTGATCGACGCCCCCAACACCTCCATCACCCTCCACCTGGAGGAGTTCGCCACGGAGTGCGGCTGGGACCACTTGTACATCTTCGACGGGGACAGCGTGGATTCGCCCCTTCTCGCAGTCTTCAGCGGTCTCATGTACAAAAGCGACTACAGTATTCGGCGAATTCCTGAAATTGTGGCTTATTCGGGCTCCGCCCTCGTGCACTTTTTCAGCGACGATGCTTTCAACATGTCCGGTTTCAATATGACTTATCGACTCAATGCGTGCCCCTCGAAGATTTCAGGAATGGACTGCAGCGGTAATGGGATTTGTATAGATCAAGTGTGCACGTGCAATGGGGGCTGGACGGGGGTGGCATGCCATCTGCAGAAATGCCCCGATAATTGCGGGCAAAACGACGGGAGAGGGCATTGCGAGCCGGAGGATGGGTGTAGGTGTGAGAGTGACTACAAGGGGGATGATTGTAGTCAATATGCCCCCAATGGGTATTGGGAGACGGTCAATGTGGAGAGTTTTGTGCCCCCAGGATCGGCCTCGCATGGGGCTGCTGTTTGGAGGGACTCCATGTATGTCATCGCCGGTGAGAGCTACAGTCGCAGGTTCATGCTCTATGTATACGACTTCAATGGTAAGTCATTTGGGTTGCCAACACAAAACAATTTAATTCACCAGATCTGAGCTGAAAAGTTACCAGATTTACACCTGTTTTTTACATAAATAAAAATTTCAAAAATATTCTAATTCTATAATTTTTTGGCTAGTTTATAATTAAATTTTACGAAATACGGGGACTATTAATGTTTGTGACAAAAAAATCTATAGACAACACTGAATTATTCGTAATCCTTCTAAATTTGTTGACGTTTGAATTTGAAAGTCAAGGTTGCCAACTCAAATTTTAAATTTGACGCCAACTTGAGGTAAAAAAATGACAATCATTTAGAGTCACGTTTTTTCTTGAAAAACATGCTACAACACTTAACAAAGGCAAAAGTGATGACTTAATTTCATGTTTTTTTGGTTTGTTTTAGCAAAATCTTACAATTAACACCATTTTCGAGCATATTTTTTATTTTTTGTTGTATTTTTTTGCCAAAATTTTACTCAAAAAGAGCTAAATCGAATGAAAGAAACGAAATAACATCAATTTAGATTTATTTTTGTTTTGTTTTTAAGCATGTTTTGACAATTTTCTTCAAAATATATGAGTCTCTGGTTCAAAAACGAACTAAATCAATATCAATAATATCAATTTCAATCTAATTAGCTAATTTTGTAGTGAGTTTTAGCAAAAATTTGAATGTATTTTAAAAACGTGCTGAAACACTCTAAAAATCAAAAATAGCACTAGTTTTGGCCTAATATGATAAATTTTTGGTTTGTTTTTAACGAAATTTGGCAAAATACGAGTAGTTCTCTTTCTGGCTAAAAACATAATAAAACACTACGAAATGGACAAAATAATGTACTTTTTGACTCATTTTAGCGATTTTTTTACCTTGTTAAATGAAATATCATTTAGAAAAACAAAACTATCTCTTGATTTTTCAACTTGTTTTTGAGGAAATTTAGCATTTGAGTTTCTGCCTGCCTAAAAAAGCGTGTAAAATGCTCAAAAAAATATATAAAAATAGTGTCATTTTTGATGGAATTAAATTAAATTAAATTGTCAAATTTAAATTTTAAGTTTGACACCAACACCAACAAAGGGTTCTGTGATTTTTTTTCTCTGCTTGTTTTCCTCAAAACACTCAAAAAATACAAAAAT